GTCATTTGAGAGACAGGAAATGATTGTTTGCTTTCCATGGCAGCCTGCCTATGAGAGACGAAATAGTCTACAGGCAGCTCACTCCTTAGGGCAGTTGCTTGGTTAAAACAAAACAAGGACAAGAACCTTTAAAAGTAGCTCTTACTTTTAACACCGAGATGTTAGGTGGTTCCTGAGAACATTTAGAAAAGGAGAAAACTACTGTCAGTGATATTTTATGTCTGAATAAATATATCTGGACCTGACAACTTGTTCTAAATTTGTCTGGAGAGTCTGTGTTGCCACCGGGGCCAACACTGAAGAAGCATGTTAATGAGTGGTGTTCTCAGCAATGGTGCTTCACAGTGCATGGGGCGAAGCCTGTAGATTTCCCATGTTTTTGTAGTTTTGAGTTGGAGCATGGAACATCCACAATCCTGTTTTCCTAGAACTATGCCCTATGACCTATTTAATGGCTTGACTGCCCCTATTTGGGAGCTAGTCCTACTCTGGTTTCTTTGTGACAGGGAAAGAAACCATTTTAACCATAAAAAAATCTAAGAAACTTCAAGATTTCTTTTTGAAAGTAGGTGGAAGCCAAGTTAATATTTACAGTTCCCGAGTACATGTGCAGTTGAGCACTATTTCCTCTGACATCTGAAAATTTTACTTACTTCAATTACCAGTGGTATTGCTAATAATATTTTGGGGTGCTATCACTGTGTCAAGAGTCTAAGAATGCCTGAGTTATACATGTTATAGTAAAGTTTCCCTCCATGGTCCCAAAGGAAAATAGATGTACTGGACAATAGTTGGGAAAATACCAAAGCTGGAGAATTCCTCTTTGTCTCAGTTTCCTCTGTTATAAAGTATGTGTAATAATTGTTTCTACCCCACAGTGTTGTTGGAGATTCTGTGTAAGTTAATATAAATGAGGCATCAAAAGCTAAATTTCTTTGTGGCCTTATGTCTTTTAAAGGGATGTCATGGTCATAAACATGGCCTCTAGAGCTGCAATTCCTGTATTCAAATTATCTTCCCACAAAGTTAGACAGCTAACTTTGGGGAAGTTACTTAACATTTTGTGCTTTTAAAAAAAAGGGGGGAGGAGGGATAATCATATCCAGCAGGGTGTTGTGTGGAATAAGTGAATTAATACAAATACTGAAAAAATATATGGCTTATCGCAAGTGCTCAAGAACTGTGCCCATTGGTATCATCACTACTATGACTACTTGTGTATTAGCGTGGCCTTGGCGTCCAGATTCTAATGTAGTACACTGAAGAGCTAGGCTGGATCTCATAAAAGTCTCCTCTCCCCTGCCAGGAAAACCTAAGAAGCCACCATCCAAATCGGCCTGGGTCTGCTTTGCCTGTTTCTTTCCCAAATTCAAGTGTGACTCCTCAGCTCTTACATTCTAATGTCAATCTTCCGGGGGCAGAAGAAACACATTAAGTAAGACCAACACCAAGAGTGTCTGTCCCAATGCCTCAGAAAGGAGTCTGTCTGAGGCCGCTTGAAACTGTGCTATCCCTGAGACAGGACCATGTGGGAAAGAGTCCAAAGAGAGAGATGAGGGCAGGCCTGCCTCAGAGTGGGACCTGCGTGCCTTTAGCAATCTAACTGGAGAGAAAAGACCTAAAATGGGAGAGAGAGCCACAGGCCACCCTTGACTTTCCCTGGCTTCTGAGAGAAAGAATGACTCCAAGAGGCACATTTGGGTCCTCGCCCCTTTAATCTAGCCAATAAAATACCTTTGGAGTTGAAGTCACCTTACTCACCCTTGTGGGAGAGCATGTCCAAACCTGAAGATCAGTGGGTATGTGCAGACATCCGCTTAAGACCAACTGACCAAATACCACTTTCCCTACAGTCATCTCAACAAAACCACTTCCCCTAAGGAGCAAGTCTAATTCATTAAAAGCTAAAACATGGAATATCAACTCGCTGAATGAGCAGTTCATGAAAAACGGAAACACCAGTGTTTTACACCGGGTCTGGCTCACTGCTATTCCAGGCAGGACCCCGACAGAGTTAAGACCAGGCGGGGCCACTACAGTAAGCTGGAGAAAATGTGGAAGCTGTGCTCAGCCCTCGTCAGTGGCTGCCTTGTAGGATAGGGACACAGTATTGCCATAGTGTCCAAGTTTCAAATGAAGGCTGAAATCTGGATTCTTACGTGAATTGTGCTGATGTTTGCATTTTGGCAAATACTTGAAATTAAAAACATAAAGAAATGAAACATAAAGAAATGCAAGCCAAACGTACCCCATATGCAGGCTTGATTCTCCCATGTGCCTGCTGTCTGCAGGTTCTGCTGTACATTCGTCCACTAACTGCTCACGCTTGCAGCTAGTTGAGCACGGGCCCAAAGCGCCACAAGATATAGTAATTTGTAATCTTGCTGAGACACAAATCTGTATCCCTAGTGCTCCAAGGTTGACTGCTGAATGTTATTTACTTAGCTAGTGAGTGTGCTTTGTTCTCTCCCCAGTTTCTGAATGTCAGTGTGTGTGGCTTTGGGGTTTTTTAAAACAAGCTTGTATACATAGTACCACTCAAAACAAGTAAAGCTTTTGCTTTAAACAAAGGCTATGGGAGTTGGGGGCGGGAGTTGACTCCTAATGTTGGAGATGGAAATGAAGAGAAAGTGAAAAGGTCTGCTAAATATTTAACTAGGAAATAGAGATTTGGCCGTTTGGAGTAGAATTCAGTGAGGGGAACAATAGGAATTTTGCGTGAAAACAATCAGCAGTTTTCAGGCTATCATAGCAAGAATTAAGAAGTAAATGAAGAGATCACTTGAAGTTTTTATTATACTTTACTTGATTTTAAGAGGAAATTTAAGTACTATATAAAGTATTTTTTAAATACTAATTTTTAATTTAAAATATTCAGTATTTTTGAGAGCTGAGGGTAACCCTGATGAATGTCAAGAAATTGTGATGCTTTATAAGTTATCCTAAATTCTTTTTACCGTTCAGTTCTCAGAGATTGCTTCAGCAGTGACTATCTGTACTTTTTCTATTTACTTTCATATTTCTCATATAGCATTCTGCTCATAAGAGATTCTTAATAAATTCATTGCTTTGAATTATTTAAACATCTTCCAATTTTAAACTTTTATGGCTTATATATAAATATTTTCTATCAAATCTATAAATTGTGTGTGTGTGTTGGGTAGTAAAGGGTGACATGCCTCAGACTTGGAGGAATATAAAACATATCCAAACAATGGAGTCCATGATTTGAAATCGTCTCTTTGTACAGCCTTATCTTTTAAAAATATTTACTTGAGTATATTATGACAGGAGGTTTCTCCTACTGGGCTAGAAATAATATTGAATGGAACAGCCATTGGGTTTTCCCTTTTGAATCCATATCAAAGCTTTTGGCTGAAAATACCATTTAAAATAAAGTATTGGAATCGTCATGGAGTATTTGGTTTTGGCTATAGGAATCTGTATTTTGCTTCCAAGTGATGGTGCATGTAACAGGGTAGACCCTCTGGTCCAAGGCCTGATGGTTATTACGTGGACAGATTTCTTCTACCCCTAAATTGCCTTGTCCCTTGAACTGTTTGTCTGTCTTCCCCCTTCTTAGGATACATCTAGCAAACAGAGAAGCTCTAGGACTAGGACTCAGCTGTTGACTTGAGTTCGATTCTCTGGGTCCTTTTGTTTGGCACAAAGGTTTCTTTTCTAGTAACAGGACAATTACAAACAGAGGAATCACTAACTCCGACAGCACAGAGCTTGTCAAACTGTAAAGGATTGATTAGTGGAGAGTGAAATGTCATTCCTGATTGTCATAGATCATCACTCTTCGATATCAGTCTTTTTTCTTTTTTTCCTATTAAGACCTTCTTTGAAAGCATTATGTCTTCAAGTGAGAAATTCTTCTGGAAAACTTTTTAAAGACAGGATTTGGAGCTGTTGGTTATTTTCTAGCTTTCTAGAAGCCACTATGACCCAATGTTGGAGATGACTTGTCAGGTTTGGTGTAAATAGCTATATCTCAGGATACATCAACAAAAGATGCCCTGTGTACAGAAATTGCTTATTTTCTTTTAAACTGGATTTCTATCCAAAATAGGACAAATTTTCCAGGTAATATCAATTCTTTTATACATAGTGTTCTTTTTCTGGTTATTTTTGAGAAACCTATTTCTATATAGTCTCTAAGGTAATGTGTTTAGCACCCTGTTGTGGGCTAAGTATTCATTCATTTAACAAACAATTATATGCAAGGCATGTTGATAAACATTTATATAAATAAATCAGAGAGAATTAGGAAAAATAACTCAAATACACAAAACAATTTAAAATGTTCATTGAAATAACTGAAATATCATTTGCTTTGGTGCATGTCATACTCTTTATTTTGAGCTCACTTCTTTCAAAAACTAAACCACTAATTCCACTTACACAAAAACTGTCTTAAATTTTTTTGTTGAATTTTACTTTCTGCCTGCGACACGTTTTCTTTCTAAGAAATCTTTTGAGGTATATTTGAGGTCTAAGATCTATATAAAAGTAATGGTGGTATGAAGCCTAGAACAAAATATTTGGTGTTTTGACTTCTTATCATTATTTGATTTTGCAACTCTCCTATCTTAAAAGGCATAATAATCTTTTTTCTTCCAAATCTCCAAATAAGACTATAAATTTATAAAACTAGTGACTTAAACCACTCTACTTTTTGTCTTTTAAAGGAATTTTATGGTATCAGTGCCTTCTTAGCTCAGTAGGCAGTGTTGTCATCCTCATGAAGGAATTTTATGGTATTGCCTCTGTAAGTGAATTTTCTTTAAGATACAATACTAAATTTTAAAATGTTAGGTCTGTTAAAGTGTAATTGTTAATTTTAGTAACTTTGAATATTGACTTTTAAAAATATTTTGAATCATTCTTGTGTTTTAGAATTTAAATAATTACATTCTTTAATCTGAAGAAGTAAGTGGTTCCTTTAGAATATCTGATGAAGAATTATTTACTTTTGAAAACTCTTTGGCTGTTAGGTGATTTGGACTCTTGGGATCTGCTCATTTGCCTGTCTTCTCAGAAGGCTTGTGGAGAACCCTGCATACCCAAGGAAGGCATATGTCAGTTAAGTTTACATCAAAAGGTAAATATTACTCTTCAAAATGTGCACAGATTTTTCAGTCCTATGATATTAACACTGGCATTTCTTGGTCCATAATGTTTAAAAAATGTCTTGAAAAAGTGGAACCATTACATCTTTGGAGAAATTTCCAACAGCCATACCTTCCACACTACCATAAAGTAGCCACTACTTTTTGTTTGCTAGTATTCCCCTCAACTTAAACTGCTACTAATATGGACCCAGTGTTATCTAGTAGGAACCAAAGCTTCATCTGGAAGTCTATAGCCTATCAAGTTTTGCTTACCGTGGCCACACGTTCATTCAAAGGAGTAAAGTCTTTATTTTCTAGATCACTATTTTGACTTGTTCAAACCTAAATTGGTACCCTGAATTACAGTAAAATTTCTACAATTTCTTACTAACTTTTACAATTGACATTCAAAGTTTAGTCTATTTTGTCTGAACTTAAAAAATACTTTTAAAAAGTTAACTAGCGGAGGATATGAACAGACAGTTCTCCAAAGAAGAAATTCAGATGGCCAACAGGCACGGGAAAAGACGCTCCACATCACTAATCATCAGGGAAATGCAAATTAAAACCACAATGAGATATTACCTCACACCAGTTAGGATGGCCAACATCGAAAAGACTAGGAACAACAAATGCTGGAGAGGATGTGGAGAAAGGGGAACCCTCCTACACTGCTGGTGGGAATGTATACTAGTTCAACCATTGTAGAAAGCAATGTGGAGGTTCCTCAAAAAACTAAAAATAGACATACCATTTGACCTGGGAATCCCACTCCTAGGAATTTACCCAAAGAAAACAAGTTCTCAGATTTAAAAAGAAATATGTACCCCTATGTTTATTGCAGCACTATTTATAATAGCCAAGATAGAGAAGTGACAAGTGTCCATCAGTAGATGAATGGATAAAGAAGAGGTGGTACATATACACAATAGAATACTACTCAGCTATAAGAAAGAAACAAATCCTACCATTTGCAACAACATGGATGGAGCTAGAGGGTATTATGCTCAGTGAAATAAGGCAGGCGGACAAAGACAAATACCAGATGATTTCCCTCATTTGTGCATTATAACGATGAAGCAAAACTGAAGGAACAAAACAGCAGCGGACTCAGAGACTCCAAGAAGTGACTAGTGGTTACCAAAGGGGAGGGGTGGGGGAGGGTGGGTGGGGAGGAAGGGAGAAAGGGATTAAGGGGTACTATGATGAGTACACATGGTGTGGGGTGAGGGTTCAAGGGGAAGACAGTGTAGCACAGAAAGACAAATAATGACTCTGTGGCATCTTACTACACTGATGGACAGTGACTGCATTGGGGTATGGGGGGGGACTTGATAATATGGGTGAATGTAGTAACCACATTGTTTTTCATGTGAAACCTTCATAAGAGTAGATATCAATGATATCTTTATTTTTTAAAAAGTTAAATAAAAATTATCAAATGCCTGCAATATGCAAGTCACTATCCTGGAAAATGTACATATGATCTATTTTTGATTCCTATAACAAGTCATTAAGAAAAGTGTCAAAACCAATAGCTATTTTTCAGTAGTAAAGTAGTACTGCAGTAGCTATCCTGATCATTTGATATTTCTGCAACTGACAGTCTTGATAACTCCTTCCTCTTATTACCGTTTCACTCCCTTGGCCTTTGTGCTAAACATATTCTTTTGGTTGTTCTTACACATCTTCGGCCCTTCTTTCTCTGTTATCTTCATAGCCACCTTTCTTCTGTCTATTCTTTAAATGCCTGTGTTCCCTAACCACTCCTAAAGTTTCAAGTTTTGTAGTTGATCATATCGAAATCTACATGTAAGGTTCCAGGCACCTTCCCAGACTTCAGGCTTGCATATGTAACTGCTTGCTGAACATCTCTGCTTATATGTCCCACAGACACCTCAAAATCAACATGGAGAAAACTAACTCATGTTTCCCCAGTAAATTCACTTCTACACTTGTGTTCAGCTCTGCACAATGTCCGTTTGACTTGTCATAAGCATGATTGATCACTGTGTGTCCCTTCCTAAGATGGAAATCTGGCACTTACCTATGAGTTCTTCCTGTCCCTCGTCACCTTCATTCATCTCTAATACTAAGGAATTTAATTACTAAGTATTTCTCAAACGTCTTACTATTCCATATTTATCAAATATCATTACTTACTACCTTTATTGTGGTCAGTCACCATATCTTACCAGAACTATTGCTGAATCTGCCTCACTGATTTTTCTGAAGCAGGTATTTTGTCCCTGAAATCTATTTTGTGCACAGTTAGATGGTAAAATATAAAGCTGAATTCACCTGGCTACTCCTGTGCTTAAAATCTTCAATGGCTTCCCATCAGCTACAGGATAAAGTTTACAATACTTGCTGCATATATTGGTCAATCTTCAGAAGGAGACAAGTGCCTCACTCAAAAGGGTTTGACTAAAGAGAAACCAATGAATGAGTTATTTCAGTTTTTGGTAGAATAAGAGAAACAAAAACAATTAGAGGCACCTAGCAACCGGCAACATTGTAAAATTTTTCTGAGCTTTGTCGGAAGGAGGGTATATAGAAGGAATAATGTAGCAGAATCTAGTTAGAGCTGGAGCCAAGAAAGAGGACTCATAGGAAAGGAGCTATGAACACAGGGGAATGTAGCCATTGCCAAAGCAGAGTGCAGTGGAGAGGGAGCTGAGAAGATAGGTGCTCAGCCTCTCTCTACTTTTACCCTCCCATCTCTTGCCAAGGTCTCCTGTTGGTGCCAGGCACCATTCTGAGTGCTTACGTATTTACTTATGTCCATTCTTTATGTATGAGGGGTCTGAAGCATAGAAAAGTTAAGAAAATGGCCTAAGACCTCATAGCTAATAGATGAAGTGAGCAAGATTCAAACTCACGCAGTCTGGCTTCCAATTCTGTTTTCTTCACCACATCACTATAGAACCGTTCTAAATAAATATTTAGCCATTGCACCTACAGCCTAGTTAGTCTAATGAATATTCTTAGATACATAGATTCTAAGTGCTACATGTCACTTTGGAGCATGAATAGTTTGAAGCTTTATGAACCCTGACTTATTTATATAAACACAACTATTCAGAAGAGAAGTTGCTTCAAATTTGTTGGGAATTTATGATTGTCAATGAATTTAGAGGGAACAGAGAAAGGGCACCTGCTCAAATTAGGATTACTAATCACATCAGAGCTTTGGAATTTAAGTGCTTAATGAAAATGATCATAAGATATGTTATAGAAAACACATGGCCAGTAGTCTCTCTAGTCAGAAGGACAGTTATGTGAATTTACAACATGTATCGGTCCATGTGATGCTGAAAGTGAAGTGAGGTCCACTATTTGGGATAACACTAAACTTAGTAATTGGGCCTATATTTCACCTTTAACAGACAGGTTCTAGTGTTTCAGGAGCAGAGGGATTCATTTCTAGCTCTGCATGTGTGCAGTATTAGCCCTCACTAAAGCCAGGGTGCCGTTTTTAGTCTTGGAGCACTGAGAACTGCTGCTTTTACTGCATTTGAAGACATTTTCAGGAATATTTGCTGGAATGATAATTGCATGTGAGAGACCTGGGGATAAAAAACATTTTCCTTTTCTTTGAGAAAAAAAAGTATGACTTTTCTTGTCATTAATTCTTTTTCTTGCAGATGATACTGAACAGCTTTCCAAGGTCTTATTTTTGATAAAATAAAAGGTATAAACATCTGAACCAATTATCAAGAAAAAAGAGCAGTTCCCTAAAATAAAATGAGAGGAACATGTGACTCTCAATGTTCATGGTGACAAAAAATTTTTTTCCCTATGTGCTTTCTTGTGCTTAATAAGGGGCCCAAATTCAAATGTTCACTCTCCTTAATGAGTTAGTGATATTACTATAGTTGTAGTTCTTATTTTTAGATGTTTTCTAAATATTTAGAATTAATTTGCTGTTTCACTTATTAATTAAATGTATCTCAAAATAAGAGTGAGTTTTTCTTTTGCTTCTGATAATACATAACAATTTAGATGAGATTATCCACAGATTAAGATTATGGAAGGTATGTTTGGATTGAAGTCTTTCTAAATGCACATTTCTTTTCTCCCAAATTGATCTCAGAAATATCTTAAGGCTCAAATGTCATAATTACTTTTATGTGCATTCTAATCCTTTCAAGGATATTAAAAGTTTTATGCCAAGAAAAACAGCAGTCTTTGTAAAACACACACACACACACACAGGAATATATAAAGCATTCAAACCCAGTATAAAATCAGTATATATTGAAGGTAATTATTGAGGTGATAATGATTTGTCAGTGTAGATTCTTTAAATGTAACAAGTGTCCACTCTGGTGGGATGTTGATAATGGGGGAGGCTGTGCATGTGAGGGCAGGACCGTATGGGAAATCTCAATGCCATCTGCTCAATGTTGCTGTGCACCTAAATTTATCCTCCAAGAAAAAGCCCGTTAAAAAAATAACTATCACAGTGTTAAGCTGGAGAAGTCAGCATAGAGAAGTCAGCTGATCCAAGTTAAAACTTCTTTGATGATGTACTTGATAATGACTCAAATCTCATACATTTTATGATGTGCAGTAAAAAAAGAATAAAGGACAGTAGGATATAGAAGAGCATTATTAAGTTTGACAATTAAAAAGTTAATATATATGAACATATAGTTGATTTAGCATAGCTGTATTACCCATAACCCTTGAATATGTTTATTTCTTTGTGCCAAGTTATTCAGTTTAAATGCTGAGCTTGGTGCTTGGTTCCAGAGTATAATGGAAATTATGTTTTAGGTGTCACCACTCCTGCAACTCTGAATTCCAAAGAGGTGTTTTGGAGAAAGGAGCATGGGAAGAGGTCATTGGATGGGGAATGGGCAAATAGAAGGTTGAAGGGTGATAGTAATTGCTTCCTTTGGCTTGGCTCTGGTGTTTTAAAGCAAGTGCTTTGTTGATGCTGAGTTAGTTCAACCTTCAGATCCAAGGCCTCATCTGAAAAGTTATTTCTCTGATAAGACACAGTAACTTACCCTTCTGTCTGAAATCTCTGCAAGCTGTACTCTGTCTTGGCAGCATCTACATGATTCTTCTGGCCTATTAGTTCAGTTCTTGTTCTGCATTTTTGCTAGGTCTGTTCTATTTTTTTCAGTTTGCATGGGATGGGACAGCATATCTGGGATGCTCCAGTATCTGCAAAAGGAACACATTTGCTTTGAGTTCTTCAAGAAGTGGCAGAAGGTTTGAAAATGGCCCTGAGTCCATACATAGCCTGTAATGCTGCTTCCCTAATGCTGATTCCCTTTCTGCATCCTTCTGTTTTTAAAGACTCCATTTAGTCAATTGCAGCTGAGTGATTTTGCCTGATGTGGGGCAAAATAGTTCAAGTTGATTGACTTTTGAAGCTCTAACAATCAAATTTAGAAGGGTTCTTTATGTATTATCTTAAGAAAAGGACCCAAACCTCGAATATGGGTTCCTGTACTTTTGCACTATTCTGTCTCTCCTCAGCCTGCCTTAGGAATACTGAATTGAAAACTTAAGACCTTTTGAAAACATTCCTACACTTAGTCACTAAACTTTCTCACTTTTGAATGTGATAAATGTAGCCATCCCTAAATTCTAAAGCGTACTATACATAGAGCCTTTTCTCAATTTTCAGGGCAGAAAGAATATAAATTCCTTAGACTTAAATATTATCTTTGGAGACTTTCAAAATTGAGTATTTAGGATGTTGCTAGTGCAGATTTACAAGAGCAGGATCTTCTGAAGTCTGGGCTTCATTCATGCACAACCCAGACTGAAGTTTACTGTTTGCTGAAAAAAGGAATAGGGTTAAGATCGCAAGGATTAGAGAATGTTTAATCCAAGCACTGTTTCAAAGCACTTTAAATGAACTATTTTTAAGAAAATGACAACTTATGTTTGAATTACTGAACTGGTAAAATCTTAGAGAAGAAGTGGAACTTAGAGACCAAAGCCTCTAAATGCTTTATTGTACAAATGGAGAACTTGACAAAGAAAAGCAAAGGGTTATGATTCTCAAGGTCAAGGTCATGATTCTGTAAAGACTCAAGGTCATGATTCTGTAAAGGCCACCAGTGGGGTGACAGCCTGGATTTCTGTTTTCTCTTTTCTCCAACTGCATGCTAGCAGGACACAGTGGAGAAACTACGATACTTTATTAATTTGGAAAGTAATCAGTAATTTCTCAAAAATGAATCTGAATTTCCAGCTAATCTCCCCTGATCTCTTTCTGTTGGTTTAAACAAAGCTTTACCATATTTGACATTAACTTGGGGATGTAGTTGATAATACCTACTTAATTAATTTGTAAATTCAGAAGGAGAAGATTAAGCTTGTTTGTATCTTTTCTTTAAAGTTACAATATATATTTGAATTTAAGATACTTCTATGAAATTTTCTAAGAACAGATTTTTGTGAAAACACAGTTTTGCTGTGACTCAGTTTTATATTTAGGAACAATAATGCCCTTCAGTATGAAGTGAAACTCTGTATGAAGTTTTCAAACAGGATTAGCACTGAATTACCCACTGTCTATGATTCAGATCACTGAGGGCCTTTGGAACTTTGGAGTTCAGTTGATTCTGAGGTATGTTTAGTGCTATTTCTTTTTGCCAAAGCGAAATTTGCAACTCTTAAGTTATTTGTGTTACCCTAATTTCCATGAGGGCAAAAGTGACTACGTTTTATTTCTAGCAAATATCATGGTGATGAAGTATATTAAAGTCTTCAAAAGCACTCTCAAATATTTTAAAGATTTATAAGCACAAGTTTTTATTTTATGTTATCAAATAAACCACTTTTATTGTTTTAGATTTGAATGTTGACTTGCAGACATTTGAAGGTGGAGTGTGTATGGTGTAGATGGTACTTCCCGTCTATATATATATACCCTATGGGTTTTGCATCTCCTTTGCTAGCATTTGTGAATGCCTAACTTACTAGAATCTCATTCCTTTCAGGTCAACATATTGCCAGAAATACAGCATCAGCTTTGCACAAAGGAAGGATTATGTCAAATAATTAGAAGATTTCCAGGTAATCTTCAGTTTGCTTCTTTATGCTTAAACAGATAAGATATGTAGGCTTCCTCAACAGAGACCAAATAATGAGGTCTCAGAACCTCATATTTAACTCCTCTGTGTATCAATTCCACTGTCACAAATCTTCCAGAATCCACAGGTTTTACCAATGTGAAGACCTTGATAAAAAGGAATACAAGTGTTAACATTGATATTCTTTCTCTCATTTTTGTCTTCTAACTTTCTAGGTGAATATTCCATTTCTTCCTTTGTGTTTTTCTTTAAAATAATTGCTTTATTTTAAAAGCAATTATAATATTTCTTAATTATATAAAACTTGAGGTTTTAAAAAAATGTATTTCTTTGTGATTAAATGATTCTGATCCTAACAAATTTGTTTCTTCTCTCTGAAATCCCCCTTCCTTTGTGTGTTTTAAACTGGATACTGAATGAGTAAATTCTATGTCCTGACAACATTAGAGCCAAAATTACCACCTCATTTCCTCATAGATTCCCAGAGTGGAAAAAAAGCATCAGATGGTATATGAATCTTCATAGATCAAATTATAACTTACTTCAAAACTCATCAGTTTAAAGAGATCCTCAGATTTCTTATTTAAAGCCTTATGTAATATTTAACAGCTTATGCCCCTAGAAATATAGTATTTCACTATATAATCTAGATCTACATTGCTTTCTTTCTTTTTTGGGGGGGAACATAGTGAAATCAGAAAACTGTCTTAACCCATCAACTTTCCCATAGGGTTTCTGCCTCCACACCAAACTGTGTCCTGTTATAAAGACTGCAGTCTTCTACTGTCATTTATCAAGGATTAAAACAAAATAAAAATGGACCAGCAATTCAACTTTCAATTTAAGATATGGTCTAAAATAAATAATAGTTGTATAAACTTTCTTCTGTAGCTGTTGTTTCATATGGCAATTGTACTGACTCCGTAATCCGTTTTTGTTTTGTTTGGGTTAACTCCAGCTGGGTTGTTTCTCTTTTTTATAAAAAAAAGAATGTTTTTATAAGAAGTAAAATAATTATTTCCACTGATAAATTATTAATAAATATGTAGAAATCCTTTAGTTAAGGCAATTTGAAAAAGGTCTTGTTTACATTTTGAACAGAGCTTACATATTTTTAAAGTATGTTTTTCTAGGTTACTATTTACATTTCAAATGGTTGAACAAAACACCAAGTTTCCTTAATACTGGAGTTAGCAGAATAGAATCATAAGAGTGAAAGCATGCTTGCAGCCAGAAATGGATTACCAGTTTTAAAAAATTACCCAAACAACTCTTATATAAGTTTATATTTTGTGTCCATAAAATTAATGTGTTTTTATGTCTTTCTTTGCTTTAAACTTTTTTATTCTCAAGAACAGCTATAGGTTCTAGACATATCCTTTCTCCCCTCTGTCTAGTGTGTTAATTTTCTGTTTATCTCCGTCACTAACAAGATGGTTTCATGGACAAGATGATTTCATGGAATATACACCCTTTTAAATGGAATGACTTCTCCTGTCATGTTATCTTTTTCTAGCTAAAGATAATTTTCTTAGATGTGTAGCTTTAAAAGAATGTGTCTATAGCATTATTTTCTGATTTAAGCTTTATAAACAATATCTTTTATTGTAGACTGTTGCTATGAATATATGGTATATCATATAAGCTCAGTATTCACAAGATGGAAAATATTTTATTTATTGTGAATACTGAATGTTTAATACTGGTTACAGATTAGATAGCATCATGTTAGTACCTAAATATATATAGCACTATTGAAAAGTTAAGATAGTAAAACTGAAAATAATACTTCATCATATAGCCATTTTTTTAAAAAGGCCAAGTGGCCTGTGTTATTTTAAGCTGTTTTTCATTTCGAGTGAGACAAAACACAAATTTTGAAACCAGAAATTTTAGCTCTGCCCCCTATTAGCTATGTGGCAACTTCAGGATGTTGAGTTTTTAAATCTACAAAATGAAGATAATGAGAAGCTTATTACCATTTCATAAGCTTTTGAAAATCAAGTAAATTATATATGTATGTATAATATACACATTATTATACACTCATATATGTGTCTCACACACACACATATATTTGTACATATTACATACACACAAAAAGCAAATAATACCTTGTATCTTACATGTAATGCTTACAAAATGGTAACTGCATCATTATAGATTTGAAAAATCAAGCAACAGGCCTCACTATACTTAATATTTTTTCTTCATCTGATCATTACTATGACTTTATATTTCCATCGAAGACCTGTAAAGAGTCTGAGATTCCATGCTACTTCCAAACTCACAAGTCACCTGCTACAATTTCCTGGGGGCTGGCAGAAGGTAGGAGACTCCAGGGTCAGAGACAAATGACTTTATTATTTGTAGTGATAGCTGGAGGTGGACTGTCAGCATCTGCGCCAGTTTACTGTATCCCACTTGTGATGTGAAGAAGGCTAGGGAGCTAGGTAATGCTTGAATCCTTAGAGTTTGCATTTCAAGAGAGGAACTCTGAGCTTAGGGAACTTGAATCTTTTCTAATGGGCATGCCTTTATTTCTAGTGAGCATGCCTGCCCTTTGCCCCAGAGAGAGACATTATTTTTGTTAAATGGTACAAAACCTTCTCTTTGCTCCAGAGTGAGACACCATCTCTATCTTTCAAGGCTATCTGCTGTATAAATAATCTTTGAAAAGATAGTTCAGAACAAAGATCGTCAGTTCCTCTGCTTGCAAAATGTGCAGAAATGTGAAAGATATATGGAGAAGGGTTTCCTAAGGTTTCAGAGAAGAATACCTGACAAGTTCTAGCTCCGACGTTTAATCAATATATAATTCTGAGCAAGATTTGAAGCTTAGTTGTGCTTCAGTTTTCTTATCTATAAAAATGCAACATTTGGCAATGATTAATAATGCTGAGGTTCCATGATTCTACTGTGTCATTTTTCCCTGTAGACACGCTGCCCCATGCTTTATCTTCAGCAGTAGGTAGAGACAGAGATGCCAAGAAAGGAGGGTGAGCATACTGGTGAATGCAGTTGGGGGCAGGTAAGTGTGGCAGGACAGCGTTTGGGCCAGATGTAGAGGAGTGCTTGAAGACAGTATGTTAGACTAACACAGTCTGTTCTGTTCCGCAGCCAAACACGGTGTACCTGACATTAGAGTCGTGACTCCCATTAAAGGGCACAAATCCATGGAACTTTTACGGGCTAGCTCAAAGATTTATTTTTATCTTGTTACTTAATACTTTGCCTTTAGGGGGGAAAAAGTTTCTTATAATTTTTAGTTGACTAACCTTGTTGCTAATGATTTCTGTTGCTTTTGATTAAAGGTTTTCTTTTTTTTTTATAAAAAGGATTTCTTTCCCATATTCGAACTATAAGTATAAAACACAACATCAGAGAACTGTTTTACTCCGGTTGCAAGTTGTTGATTTTGTTCTTTTAGTGCAGCATTGCCACCAAAAAGTCCTGCTTAGGAGCTTGCCAAAATTTTGGCTCTCCCTCATTCTTTCCAGCAGTGTTATCTCAGCCTGAGCACTGGCTTTCACATGGAGCCTGAAATGTACCCAGACTTCTATTCAAAGATAGCATATTGAACGTTTTAGGATCTCTGTCCTCATTTTCTTAGTAACATGTGAGCACATAAAGAGAAAGGAAAACAAAAAAATTGAATACCTTTCAATGTATCTAAACAAGGCTGAACTTTAAAAAGTCATAGATACCAAATATAAAACATATCTTTTTTATTATATAATTGAAATTATTTTTAAACATTGGCAAATAATGATTATTTATCTCATGTGACACTGTTGATTGCTTTTAATATTCCAAGTCTAAAAAGTCCTATTTATCATATGCTCTCAGTGAACTGTTGTCCAACAATCAGGTAGCCTAGCTTAAATTTTTTAAAAAAGCAACATGTAAATTGTCCATGCTTAAGACCATTTGAGGATTTTACTACTTTCATTTTTTTCCTCCCCACTGCTATACCTTGGAGGAATGTTCTTCTTCAAACAAGGGTAAAGGAATGGGACCATCCCTAATATTAAAGAAGACCAGGGGCTTAACTCTACTAGACAATTAGGCAAACTTTCAAAGTAGGCCAAAGTTTGCTTGTTCTCTGTGCTCTCAAATGCTGACACCCCATCCTGTGTCTCCTGTGTGCTCTTTCCTTCTTTTGTATTTCCAAAACCTTTCACCTCCTGAGCCACACATGATTATAATCCTTTATGCAAAATATTCTTTCCCCGAGTAAAATTCATCTCTTTAGTATGACTGACTTCAACAAGGTGATAGCAGAAAGCAAGCTGATGGAACTAATTCATCCTAAATTATACCCTCACCCCAGTTATAAGCCTCTTAGATATATTTGCATTTTTACAAAAGAAGCTTGCAAACCCAATGAATTTCTAATTGGTAGGATTTCTGGAAGTGCATTCAAATTCCCATTCAATTATCAGCAAGCCATCCACACCCAAAGCTTACCAAATCCATCTACTTTTCTTCATCCCTACCATGACCGTCCTGGTCCAAGTCAGCATTCTCTCTAACTCTCCCCACTTCCTTTCTTGCCTCTGAAACATCCAGAGTGACCTTTCTGCAGCCAGATTGATCTTTCTCCATCCCTTTCATAAATAAAACAAATTCATTAGGCCTGCTCACAGTAGTCTGCCTAGGGACTAAACAGTGACGCCCCCAATAACTAGCTGATGCTCTGACATGACCCAGGGATGGATTTTATCTAGAACAGAAGTCACACACCCAAATGTTTCCAGGGACCTGGCTTGGGACACAGAAAATTTCATAACAAATTCAGAAGGTTGAGAGGCCAGATAACCTGCACATTTTCAGTATTTGGCCTGTCATTAAATTTAGACTCTTTCGCATAAGCCACTGGGTCTCCGGGAAGAGGAACTGAACCCATAGGAAAGTACAAGGCTGTGCTGTATGGCATCCCAGCTACACCTCTGGAGTGTTTTAATGTTGGAGACTTAAAGA